TTTTTTTCAGGACTTTTCCCTCGTATGAATCTTCAGAAAGACAAATACATAAAGACATCTGTGTAATTTACATTTCCTAGCGCAACAAATTATCCGTCTCTACCTAGATGAACTTTTGCAACTAGAACAGTTACTAGAGTAATTAAATGTTTTGTGTCAAATTTATTTCTGTGCAGTTGAGTATTACTTTTAAAGTTTTTCCGTGTTTCACTCTCTGTTTTTGCATCTTCCTTTTTTCATTCTCTATATACTATTCTGTTTTAAGTCAGTATATTCCTGGTAATTTTCCCCAATGATTACCAACAAAAGTTAATATATTTAGAACTATGATCCCATTTTTTCTCAGATGCGGGTTTGACTATATGAAAAGTCTATATCTATATAAGATATGGAATTATTTTGATACAAATCCAACTACAATGAATATGTGAAAGTTCATATATTTTTAACTGCGGTTATAGAAACGTATGATGCACGTATTCATCATATATGATATGGAATATATCATATATTCATTGTATCTGATTTATCATCACGGGTTTATTACGAATCAACTTAACGGCCTGCTCCCTGTTGGCTTGTTTGCTCAATTGGTAGAGCGCTGCATTAGTATCGCAGAGGTCAGTAGTTCGAATCCCGTACAGGCCTAATTTTTTTCAGGTCTGATTTTCGCTATTGCATAAATAGCGCTCTCTACTGCGAGGATCGTGCATCATACGACGTATGTTCTGTCGCACTTTGTCGAATAATTGTCGCACTTTGGAATACCTGTCGCACTTGGTGACAATATTGTCGCACTTTGTAATAAACTTATTAGAGTGGAACCTTGATTTAAGTAAGTGCCAAGGGACAGGGGAAATTGGTTCGTTATATCGAGGTTTTGTGTCATTCATTTTACTGTAACTTTAGCCAGGCTGAAGCTGAAGTATCGTTCGTCATACCGAGGACTTCGTTATATGGAGGTTCGTTCAATCCAGGTTCCACTGTATAGAGGGTCGATCGAGTAGACCCAGGCAGGTATCACAGAGTGCTACAGAACGACGTATCGTCCTCAATCCAAATTGCTCAATAGCAACTGTTTTGCCCTTGACCCCGGAAGCCTACTCATCTGGGAATGACGTGGTTCAGTTGGCCAATCAAGCTGGAAACCAATAGCCGGGATTCTCTTAGTATTTTTTTTCTATAGCCTTGCAAGTTATTTAATTACTATGTACGACAGGGCAGATTAAACAGAACATGTTTCTTAGCAATTTTTAAACGTAATCATATTTTTTAAATTTACCTACTAATTTCGATTTCGATAATTTCGATGCACGTTTTCTGAAATTCTTTCAGTACGAACTAGTAGTTGCTTTCGCGACTTTTATATTTAGGTCGTTTTTGTTATCAAAGTTAGTTTGGGTTTTTATCATATGCAGTAAAAAGGTCTGTATGTCGTATACGATAAAAGCAACATGAGGCGCCAAAGCGTAGCNACATATGTAAATTCTAAACATGTTAGCTGGCCACGTCCTAGACGCCCAGCTTACGTGTATATAGGTTCTGGCAGCCAGACGTTTTAACTCCCATAATAATAATAATTATTATTATTATTACTATTATTATTATTACTATTATTATTATTACCATTATTATTATTACTATTATTATTATTATTATTATTCCTTTGTTAAAATTATTGGTATGTGTATCGTCAGAATCATAATTATTTGAATCCATTTTTGTTCGCCATCTGGAAATTCGGCACACCCACACATTGCAGTCCTTGCATCTTCAGTTATCCACCTCAGGTGGCTTCAAAGCAAGTTTTGAATTTCAGTAACCAGTGGAGAAGTCGGGGCGAGCTTATTTGTTCGACGTTGTTGTCAGTCAAGCATTTTTGTTTTGTTCTGTATATTCTTTTTTTTGTTTTAAACAAAATTACTTCTGAGAATGAAAGCATCACAAGATACTTTTGAATTATTTTCCTTTATTTGTAAAATGGTTAGTTGAGTTCATACATACAATGATATCAGTAGGCTCCTTTGAGTTATTTCCTCATTTTTTGAGTCAAGATAAGAGTTGAAGATTTGATAAATGTTATATTCCCTGTAGTTATGTGATTGGAAAACGCAGGAGATACCCTGTTTTCGAAACAAATCACAATGTGATCAATACCTATAGCCATTCCTCAATGCTTTCAGCTATAATGAAGTTATAGGTTGAATGTAGTGGCAAACATTCTTCCAACTAGGAAAAGAGTTTGAGCAATGGATTAAATTTACGCCGGGTAGAGACTATTCGCACATATATATACATATATGTAAACATTTAAAAATAATAATAAGTGTATATATTTTTTGTCTTCTTTATACGCTGTAAGAAATTCCCTCGGCCCTTCATCAGCGCTGGATCCTCGGTGGTTAAATGCGATATTTTCTCCCCCTTAGTAATTAAAAGTAAAACAAAAGAAAATAAACAGCGCTACAAGTGACCGGCAGAGTGGCGCCACACAAATGAAAACAGCTCAATATTCGATCACTTCGGTGCACCGTTTAAAGAAGATTCTAATTACTCTGCTAACCTTTAACTTGGCTAAAAATTAAATACTTCCAAAAAGTCTGTTCTTTTATTAAGTTTCCAAAGGCTTGTATACACATTTCTATGGGCTTATGTAATTCTATTGGTAACTGGTAACGGCTGTTGATTGTGCAGATAGATGCGTGTCTCTCTCTAACTTTATCGAGTTTCCTGAGTTCCGGCCAGTTTTAAATATTTATTTATATATTGGTCTATGTATGACTTAGAGGTAGTTAGGTGTGGCCATCGTGTATGTTTGATAAAGTTATCGTTTTTTGTCTTGTTTCTAGTACATACCGAAGGCTTCGAGGTTCGGGCATATACACCGACTCCTGGGTATAAATTTGTTCATATGAAATAGAAATAGATTGACTTTGTTTCAATTGAAGCACGTCTAGATCGTTTCGTTTATTTCGTCTTATTTGTTTAAATGCAAATACTCAAGGCCTAAGTAACTGAGTAATTCACTAACGTGAGCGCCAAAATCGTACCTCTTTCTCACAATAGAAACGAATCCCTAAAGAATTACTAGTCGACAGCCCCAATGCTCAACGACATCGGGCAAAACCGCGGTTGTCAAATCAAAGAGGTTTCATAATCATTGTTCGCGAGACATATGCATTATCCAGCTATTGAAGTGAGCTCCTAGCTTTAAAAAAAAAAAAAAAGAAAAAGAAAAAGAAACTGAATACTGAACTTCAAGTTTCAGGCTCAAGTCATGTTTCGCAAACAGCGTAGGATCAGCGGGTAACATCTCTCCTTCAAATTCAGTTCACGTCGTTATTTGAAATTCCAAGTTGTTTTTGTTTGCACCTGTTATGCAAGATGTCATACCATATTCAGTTTTCGCGCCAGTGATACTAAGATCACGCTGAGATTCAACCACTTTCAGCGAAAATGGTGACTCAAGTGCCTTGAATGAATTTGAAACATGAAGATGGTATAGATTAGCAAAAGAATAAACCCGCACATCCATGTTGGCAGACTGAAATAATCGATTATCGCTATAACAAGCTATACCTGAAGGAAAAAAAAGAAAAAAAAAAAAACTACAGTAAGCTGCATATATAAATTCGATTGCACTTGCTATTTCAAGTCTCGCAAAACATGCATGATAACAACTTGTAGGAAAGGCACTTTTGTACTTAATTGGTATTTTGAACTGATTTCGTTCACGGTTAATTCTGTAGATTCACTCAGCTATCATAAATGTTATTCCAATACAATTATAAATGCAACTTGACAGTCTTGACTGAGTGGTGCGACGATTTTCCTCTTTCACATTGCATTTAGTCGCATAACTTTGCAATTCAGTTCCTTTGTCAACTTGGAAAACTAAAAAGGAGATGGCGGCGGAGCATTTAAAGTTAAGCACTAGCAAAACAGTTTCCCCCTTCGAATGAACGTTTTATGACTTATTTAAAAGCTTTTAACCCATTAGCATCTGTCAAGTTATCGGATCAAAATTGGAGAGTTTCGTACACTTACAAAGTATTGGTTTTTTTCAGTGATTGCTTCTATGTGGATAAGAATTTGATACACGAACTTGAAAAACAGTGAGATGCGATATTAAATTGTGTTACATCAAGGCAGTTCATGGTTTTTCTTGGAGATTCATCCAGCGGCAAAGTGAACAAAACATTAAACATCCATCAAGAAAGATTAACAAAACGAGTGCATTTTCCCCCTTTGGGGAATTGTAATTGCCTCTTGGAACGAGCGACGGTTGAAGGTTAAAATGTGACGGCAAAAGTATCTATCTTAGGGTTGTGAATAGACACTTTAATAAACTAAACGGCGCCCCAATATTCCACTGTTCAAACAGCATGAAACGGCGCCAGGCAAGTCAAATAATGGCGGGAAAAAAATTAAACAAAATTAGCCTGACCACGTACGTAGTAAAAAAGACCGCAGGAAGCGTCCATCATTGCTTTCCAGGGCTTGAATTTTCCTCAAGTTGCTTATTGTCACTAAGCTTTCTTTTTCTTTTCTTTTTCTTTTTTCTTTTTCTTTTTTTTTCCCGCATGCTGCAGGGAAAGTAAATGTAAGCAATTTATGTTTCCTTCCGTGAGCGGCTTTTTGCAAACGTTGATCAACATGATCGTGTTATCGTTTTCCGAGATGTTTGAATGTTATTACAGCGTTTCAAATGAGGAAACGGAGAAAATAATACAACCTTGCTATTCTTTTGTGGCATTTTAAGGCAGCCGGCGGAAAGGATTGTCTTAAAAAAATTACACTGTCATATATTATCATTCATATCTCCAATGAAAAGGAAAAATTTCCAGTGGTTTTAATCCGCTGTAATTTCTCGAGTAAACCAAGTCTTATTACGAGGCCGCTTGTTCGGTTAGAAAGGTTTAAGAGCTCGCTGAGAAAATAAAAGATTTCGGTCATTAAATTTTCATATTCATTATTTTGCGTGTAATTAAAGCACGGGATGGAAAATAATCTCGTCCAATAAGAAACTAGCGCTTTGTCCATACTTCACTCTTTTTGAATTAATCACAAATACTATCATTGTCATATCGACAATACGAAAACATCATGAAGTTTGCTCACTGCTTCCCCATCGGGACGGTCATCTTTTAAATGCAGTTACATCGAAAGAGAGAGTCGCTCTCCACACGAAATGCGATGAAACGATCAGTACACACTGACGGTGTATGAAAGGGTCAATACTACAGACTGACCTGCAGATTTTTCATGGCTGCACTAGTAGCTGAGGTAACTCGTGTCGATAAACTGACTGAAAAGTTTGGAAGACAGCGGATCGATGAGGGTTTAGTTTACGGAGCTGAAAAAATTGGTTCGCAGCTTGCTGCAAACAACAGCGCTAGCGATGTAGCGTTCACCGAACACCACAGAGCTTGGCTTATCTGCGAAAGGCCGCTCGTAAGAGGCAAACCTGAAAGACGCAAGGGTCAAGCAAATAAGCCGCGCGGCGCAAGTCGCAATTTGCCGCATCTTACTCACAGGAAATCGCCTCCGCTTGTCAGTGAGGTACGCATCATTAAGGTTCGAAACAGCAAACGGGGTTTAAGTCAAAGTCAGAACTCATCGGAAAGGGAAGATGAAAGCAGATTCGACAAAGATAGGTTGTATATTTCTCTTGGAGGGAGCGACGAAGGATTTGACTTATCTAGCTCAAGTGATGATGAAGTGCGAGAGTTCTATTCGTGCAAAACCGAACTTTTGGAAGCGAACTCTGATGAAAACTTAGACGTTGCGGAAAAACATTCCATTCGGCTACCAGACTTGGTCAAAGATCAAAGTGACAAAGAGGCCAGGAGGAAAAGAAACAAAATTTACCGTGGTAGTTTGAAAAAGAAACTCAAAGTTTCCCGACCTAGTCTAGATCTGGAGAAAATGCTCGCAAGAAGGATGGAAGACACTAGATCTGATAAAGGACCGGAAAACATATTCCATCCAATTCATCAGATGTAGAATTCGAACAGGGAAATTTTCGCCAAACAATAACAGGGCTATTGTAATTCATTGGCGAATTTATACGGTTATCTACAAAGATTCTTTCCTTTCGAAGCCGAGCACCAATAGGTTTTAAATAAAGTTCAATAGGAAGACTCGATTGAATTGAAAATTCTCCAGCATTTGGCTTAGATCAAAAGAAAACATATGTAAAACATGGAAGCGCTTTTTTGAAAGTACAAGCACAAAAGTAGAAGTACGTGTCAGGTTTGTGTACAGTACCTAATGCGTATGTTCTTTAAGAGTGGAACAGGATGGCAATATGTTTGTGCATTGTGGCATAAAAACGGAAAGGAATATTTATAATTCGAAAAAGAGGTGTATCAGATAAGTGCCAAAAATACTGCGACAAAAAATAGACAAGAAAGTGCGATTAAGCCGTACTCCGGAAACCATCCAAAGATGCTAATGTTATACTATCTCTAAACAACAAATATTACTGGGTTCATTTGAATTTCAAATTTGCAAAGAATGTAATCTTTAGCTGTTTGCCGAAAGCGTGTAATATACTACCACGACAGAAAGAGATGCGCTGTATTCTACTGTTTCAAACTGGAGGCTAAAGGCCAAAGTTCACCTTATTGTTGTGAACTAAAGTTTGACAAAACACAAAGAAACATGAATATTAGCCCCCTATGTAAATATTTTTGTGATCACGGACCGGTTTAGGGTCATCCTATCCGCAAAAAATTATTGAAATTAAACTTACAATGGATCCTCGGAGACCGCTGTATTGTTTATTTTTCAACAAAGCCTTTTAAAAACCGGTGAGATTTTCAGTGAACCCTTCTCGCAGACATGAAATCTCGACTTTGCACTTGCTATGCGCGTCTGGATTTCGGTCATGATTTTCAGACATTACCTTTGTTTTACAAAGCTTTAATTAACAGACTCGGTCATGGTTAACCTCAGCTGAACTTAAAACCACTTATCTTAGGGTCTCGGACAGAAAATGTCTGAGCACTTTGCAGCACACCAGCAATGTCCAGATCAGGGTGTAATTTAACCAGCATCATTCTCAGAATATATAATGCATGTTTTTGACATCCTCAGTTGCTGTTATGGGATATTAATACAAAATGGCCGCAATGACAGATAAGGTTGGCGCTAACAACTTTTCATTAGCGAGCAATTGTGCACAGGTAAAAATCATTCAAGTGTGGCCAGATTAATTTGACTAACAAGTATTAAGAACGACCCGAACTGTCAAAACTAGCACGAATATATCGTTCGTCAGACATGGGTATAGCAACGTGTTCTCAGGAGCCTTGAATAACAAGGAAGGCGGTAAGAATCTTTCAATAAACAAATTTCTCTATCGCCATAGATGGGGAACTAAGCTCATTGAACCGGAAAGGTCACATTGTAAAACTGAAATTTTAAATTACTTGCTTAACCATTCAGCGAGACGGTTAAGTTTCGCAAAGCCTCATTTAAATGATGCAATTGGAAGATACTTGATCAAATTTGTTGTTGATTTAAAGTGCCTGGCCGAGCATCATATTGATTTTATGTTTACTAGAAGTTTGGTATAATTCTATTCTGCTTTGTGTGGTAACCATGGTATGGTAGTAGGGTTGGTGGGTGTAGAATTAGCGAAGGAAATATTTGGTTATATGATCCTATGGGTGCTTACAACTTTTTCAATTTATTTTCTGAAAAGAAACGAGATAATAGACGATAAATTTGCGAACCTGGGTTTATTAAAACAGTTAACCCACTTGTTGATTCATAGAGATTTCAGATGACCGTTTTGTTCTGTTAATGCTAAACTAAGACATACCCCTCCAAAAGTTTGTTCATTGAAAGGAAAATCTAATCCTGTATGATCTGGTTACCATGTGTAGAGACAATAAGAAATATATGATAGAACAAAAATTGTTATAAAAGTTAATTAAAACGGCTTAAAAAAGTCAAAAGCTATTATTTTTCAGGTATGTGTTTGAAGCCTGAAGTGACTCGGCAACCTGAAAGTTCAAAGCAGCTTCTAGGTCATAAAACACATGCGTTAAAAGTTTATGCAAATGAAAATGCGCCTTTCTTCTGTTTGATCTTTTCATGAGAATTGCTTTGTACATCATAGATTGACCGCGCGTGCTTGTTCGTCCATCCTAAACCTTGCACGTGTAGCAACTCAATGTTTGAAAGACTTCAATTATTCAATATTTTCACTTCAGACGACAAGAGTCGATGCAACTGAGCATGTTACTCTCTTTTTTCAATCCTTTATTTCAGGATAGCATCGATTAGAATATCGTGTACTGATCTCACGCGCTCTCTAATTTCTCGTAAACCTCACACGTGTACCGGTTAAACCCTTCTTGGCGAAAATGTTATTTGAAATTTGCGATTCAAATTTAACAGACTTCTTTTTGTCTGGAATATATTGGAGATTAAGGTAAAGACTTATTGAATAGGTTTCGTTTGTAGAGTATGTTGTCCGATTTTCACTCTGATATCGAACTTTTTTGTAATTAAATGGCGATGGGAGTAATTGGGGAGAACTAGAGCGTAAGATCCATAGTTTTGTGTTGGAGTACTGTCTGTGGCAACGTGTGATGGTCTTTCGTGTTTACAGTCACAATGTCCTTCTCCATCCAGGTGTGGAAATAGGTTTAAGTACGCTGTCAGGCAAACCCACGAGGAGAAGTATGCTCAAGAAACGAATAAAAACCGTACTTAAAGATGAACGAGTTTATGCCGTTTTACTAATACTTAAAGATAGCTGATGGTGGTTGAATTTAAACTAAAAACTAGGCAATTGACGCCGCCATTAAAAAAAAAAACTCAGTTACCTAGCTACGCACGTCCAAATGGGCGGGAATCAAGGTACGTGGTCAAGCGGTTGCCGCCCTGATTTTCGTTAAAGAATCATTATTTAAGTAAAGAATATCTGTATGAGAAGTTCCTAAGTGTTCAGGTAGAAAATCAAGAGATATTAAAGAAAAAAAAAAGCAGAGAAGTAGACATTTTTTGGCTTCCGGGTAAGCGTCCAGGTTGCTAAGTATGGTTCAAAGTGACGACTGCCCTATTTTCTCTAGTTGGAAGAATTGGCGTGACCATGAAACCCAGACGTAAATAAATTTGACACTGCAAGTCCTGATAATGTTAAGAGAGACTTGTAATACACGAATTATAAGACTGGGCTATGGTCTCTTGGAAGCGTCATTGTGTACAGACTATGGAGCGTGTGCACGTGAGTCTAACTTTTGTCGGCTACAGCTTACCAAAGGTCTAACTGATCGGCGAAGCAACTACGGCAAATGTGTTATTCATTGTTTCTTCTTTATTCTTTTCCTTGACGTTCAAAGGAAAAAAATTCGTGAACAAATGAAATCGTCAACTACTGGCTACAGATCACTAGAATCTGACTAGACCTGAAAAAACGGTCACTGCAAAAACACAGGAAAAACTAAGATAAATTAGGAAAGGCTTCCCGACAAACCCAACTAATCCGAAATTAGATAATTCGTTTTAGTATATGCTAGAACAGTGGATAGCGTTGAAGGCGCGCTCTGATTGGCTAGTCAAACTCCGAATATCCTTTACTATTTGCCTCCGAGCAACTCGGGAAAAAATGGCGTCCCGGTTTGCATCCGTGACTAGCGAAGAAATCACTCAAATTAACGATGGTGGTGTATATTATCTCACTGTTTTAGTATGTACTATATATAACAACTATTCACCTCCGCGTCGGTGGTTAGCGGTGGATATTTACCTCGCCGCGAAATATCCACCACTAACCACATTCACTTCGGTGAATAGTTGTTAATTATCAACTGAGCTGATAAATCAAATTGGCCACCGTAAAGGGTTTCCAAAGCTGACGCCTCAAAACCTCAGCTCCAGAAACCCTTTACGGTAACCAATTTACATCTATCAACTCACTTGAGACAGCAGATTATCTTGTATTACCGCACAACGAAACAGTACAACAGTCTCTTTAGGAACTTACCCTCTTGATCCACAATTAGGCCAGGGACATGATAGATATTACACAAGAGATTTTCTTGTGCAGTTCATTTTGCCATGATTAATTTTTTCCCTAAAAACGTTTGAAATGCAAATGTATTCTCTTTTAACACTTGAAAGAACAACTATGGTAAATTTTGACTGGTGGTGACACCTTTTCTCTTGCCAACCCCTTTTGTTAGGTGAATCATCCCCTTCGCAACCATTTTGTTATGTATATTTCATTAGTTATGTCCAGCCATAAGCTTGTTAGCTATTACTGCCAGCTACAAGACCTTCTTCGAGTAAGGAAAAGGAAAGAAACTCTTACGTGACTGGTTCACTTTCTTTATGTGACCGATAATTTCACAGGTGTATATCACTCCACCATGTTGCTTTTTATAATCACTCTTACGAGAGTTTGCATGACTGGACATGAGTTGCTTGGAAGTTTGAAATTTCATGAACACACAGAGTAGAAAAGCCGCACAGATAAGGAAATGAAGAGAGGTACGTCTGATGAAGTATGGTATGATTCTCACTAAATCATTTTTGAGGGTTGTTTTCTGTTTACTTACAACAACCGATCGTTCCTGAGAAAAGCCAATATTTTAGAAGTGAATGGGACGAAAATGATGAAAACTGACTAAATTATCAACAAACGCATTAGGGATTGATTTATATTTCGTTACCTCTTTTTCAAATTAAACGTTTTAAAAATCTTATTACCTCTTTCAAAAGTGATATTTTCATAAAGTTCCAAATATCTCACAAGTTGAGTTACATGTAATTGTTTTCCACAACATTCAATATGTATATTTTGAACGTTGCTATACGCACTCTTTCTATCTTCCAATTCGTTAAGTCATAATTCAGTCAGAAGACAATTGAAACGATAAACTTTGATTAGGGCGCTTGGCAAGGTCATTTGACCAAAAATGAAATTTAAGCCCCGAGGAAGTTGGAAACTGGTCACCTCTCAAGGGTGACGAAGGGCCATAACGAAGGGGTAACGCTCGAAACGTTAGCTCTTGAAACACTCTACATGGGAAAATTTACATTAACAGCTCAGTTGATAAAATCAATTCATCTGGTAAAAAAAGGAAATGGCTCGTCAACGTGATATTTTATTTCAAGATCATTTGCACGACTCACCCTTGACAATAAGAGGCCAATTGTTTAGAAGACCTTCCATCGAGCGGTCTTTGCTCAGGCAACCTCTAAAGAAATGAAAACTAC